TGATTTGGTGATGGGAAACCCGTGGGGATTACAATTGAGATGAAAAAAAAATGTGCAAAATGATGTAAAAATAAACTTTTTAATAAAAAAAAAAGTATGCTCTTCTCCCCAACCCCAGCGGAAGTTTATTGGGGCTATTGAAGAATGAATATGTGGAAATGTTATTTGATCATATACTGTACTAGAAATCTGAAATTTGCTAGAAATTTAAATTTTTAACTCTTACTATAAACTTTTAAAAAGAACTATATTATTAAAGTACATATGAATAAAGTTTTAATATATGGTGTGATGGGTGGATGAGGCTGTCCATTGTGCTATTTCTTTCTTTGGATTCCAGTCATGGCTTGGCCATGCAAGAACTCTATAACATTAACACATTCAATTAAAAAGTAAATACATGGGGTGGAACAGTTGATACTATGGAAAAAAAAAACCAACAGTATAATCAGTATTGGTGAGGATGCAAAGAAATTGGAACCTGTGTATTCTGTGACTGGATGAGAGCAGGGTCTGAAGGAGGTACTCACACACCCACATACATAGCAACATTATTCACAGTAGCCAATTGGTCATGGGCCTCTTGACAGTGTTTAGAAAGGCTGCACCATGGAACCTCGTAGTAGACTATATCATTTAGGTTTGTGTAATTTCACTTAGTGATGTTCACACAAAGACAGGATCACCCACAAATGCACTTCTTAAAATGTATCCCTTTTGTGAAGGGGAAGCATTTAGATATGTCAGCAATGCTGGTAGCTTCAGTGAACTTAATTGCTGATGAACAAAATCAGTTGCCACAGCAGATATCCAGGTGTGCACATAATTTCCTCAGGACGCCCTGATGTCTTCTACCCCTCTACATACCCGAATTCTAGGGGACATTTTGTTTATATTTCTTTGTCAAGTTCCCATTTTTAAATGTGCAAAGTGTTAAGAACTTTTTCAGAATCATTTACTTTTTTTTTTATATAAAGTTTACTTTTTGTCTATTGTAAAACTCATGCTTGTTATAAGAGAAATAACTTAAACAGTATAAAATTAGAAGATGGAAATCTAAGTGGAGATGCCCACTGTTAATATTTTCACCTCTGTTCTTTCCAGTGCACATGTAATTTATATGGACATATGGACTCTATTCTCCAGAGTTGTACAAGGGTTCTGGAACCCTTTCATTTCACTCAGCTGTACAAGCTAAACATTTGTCCATTTCAGTAGATGTAGCTACATATCACCACTTTTAATGACAACAGAGCATTTCTTTGTATGGATATATTCTAATTTGTTTTACCAAGTACCTCTTTTTTTGAGGCTGTAAACATTGGAATGCACATCCTTTGAACATTTAGCTGTCCATTTGTTTCTTTTTATGAATGGAATTTCTACTAAATCTTATTTTCTTATGTTTGCCTCCAGAGGCTTCCTTTTCAGCCCCCCTCCTTTTTTTTTTTTTTATTTTACAAAAGTTCATTTTTACATCATTTTGTACATTTTTTTTTTCCTCTCAATTGTAATCCCCGTGGGTTTCCCATCACCAAGTCACCCTTGTGCCATCACCATAATCCTGTGCATTTCCCTCCCCACCCCACCCCCCGTTTTTGATCCCATTTCCCACTCCACCCCCGCAAAATGTCTCTGGTATATGGTTGTTCATTATTTTTGTTATTTTCTCGCCTGGTCCATATACTCCTGCTATGAGTGACACCATCTGGTATTTTTCTTTCTCTTTCTGGCTTATCTCACTAAGCATGATCTTTTCCAGCTCCATCCAAGTTGCTGCAAAAGACGTGTGTTTCTCTTTTTTGGTTGATGAGTAATATTCCACTGTATATATGTACCACATCTTTTTTATCCAGTCATCTACTTTTGGGCATTTGCAGCCCCCCCCCTTTTTAATGGTAATAGACAAGTGAACAAAGTCTTAATGCCCTTTCATTTACCAATTCTGAAGTGCGTTTCTACCAGCAGAGCATGCATCAAGTATGTGCAATCATTTGAGAAAAAGTGAGCACATGTTTTTACAAAGGCAGATTCAGAAAAAGGAGTCTCTGCTGCTAGTAAAGTGAAAGCATATTTTTGAATTTGTAACCAGAAAAATTCTCTCATGTAGCCACGTGTCACTTCCCAATGCTTCAGTCACAACAGACTGTGCATATGATGGAGCTCCCCAGTAGGCTCTGGTCTAGGCGTGTAGTCTGGACCGGCTAGTTTTGGGTAATTATACCCTGTGACATTGGTGTGGTCATAGAATTGCTCAACGATGTGCTTCTCAGAATGTTCTCTCTCATGAAGTGATGCATAACTATAATTTTAAAAATAAAGACTATAAATATTAATTAAGTAAAATTGGAAAAGAAATAAAGTGAAATTGAGACATCACTGTGTTGCCAGGGAAACCAGGAAGGCAAAGCTTTCACTGTTTCAGGGTTGCCTGCCTCCCATGGAGGCTGGGACAAATACAAACCACAGAGTAATGTTCATGTCTTTTAGTTGAAACAATGAGTGAATCCACATAGAGAAATACTTGAGCAGTCTTATACACAATTAAGATATTTATACAGATAATTAGCAAAGCTATAATGTCTGTAAGAAAAAATGTTTTTATAGCATGTGTTGGCATGTCCAATTTTATTTGAACAGAAAACATTTTCTTCCATTTTATAAACTTATCCATGAATTTTCCAATTAATAAGACTTTTGGGGAAGTGTTTTTACTTATCTAGTTTAAATATGTTTTCAGAGTTCTGTCATCATGCTGCTGTAGACCCCGTAAGTTAATTCAGACGTCTGGATGTCTTGGTGTCCTCTAAAAGCTTTTCTTAAATCTTCCTACCCTGTATCAAGTTTAAGCCTGATGCTGTCACTTTTAAAAGTCAGTATTTGTCATCTTTTCTCCTTAATTCTTGATGAGTCTGTGGTACCTTTCCCTTTAAAAATTTATGGTACATTCTTACAAATGTGTTCATGTAAATTTGCATTTGCCTACAAAGCATATACATTTTATATTGATACTGTTCAAGGGTAAGGAAGGACATAACTTTGCTGAACTTTGAGAAAAACCAAACCAAATATTGCCCTTCACCTTGTGTATTTGCAAGATTAGAGTTGCTGTTAGGTCATCCTTTCTTCATGACTATGGGGAGGAAATAAACAGAAATCACTGAATAGCTATCATTTTTAGTAAGTAATATCTGTAACATGAACTGTTGATTAGTCAAGAACTGGCTCAGAATGTTTAACATGCAGTTATTTTGATCTTTATAATCTTGATTATTTGTACAGAATAATCTTACTCATTAGATAGCTTTGGCTAGTTTCCCCCACTGTTCCTGCTTGGATAATTTAAGGGAGCAAAAAGAGAAATGCAGATGACTAATGGAAGCATAAACCTGTTTTTTCTGAGGGCTGAACTCTGGGAGCAGAGAGGGTTCAGAGCTTTGGCATGAGTCCAGGCCCCAGCCTGGTGTGTTCAGTCCCACGCTCGCAACTCCCTTGCCTCACCATGGGCAAGTATGGGTTCATTCAGAGCTTCTGTCTTCCTGTGAATAATTTCAACGCCCCCCCCCCACCCCGCCAGATGCCCCTCCACTCTGCTGCTACCCTCCCTCTGAACACCAAGCCACCAGTGGCAATTCCTGCATCCCCGAGGTTTTTCAGAATAATTAAAAATATGGCAATGCAAAAGGAATTTTTAGAATAAACTAGTCAGTTTAAAAGTTCTCCAGCCTCTGGGAACGCAGTGGGAGATGCCATGCCCTCTTCCCTCTGAGGCCTCCCTCCAGCCCATCTGGAAATGTCAATTCTAGGGAAAAAATGTTATCCACCCCTGGGACTAGAAAGGTGCCTGAGGAGAAGCCTCTGTCAAGAGCTCTGCCAGGAAGCCCTTTGCCATATTCCTCACTCCAGCTGTTCATATCACTCCCAAGAAAGCATCACTCTCACCTGCTATCTTCACTTCTTCCTCTGCTGGGTTCTGGAACGCAGGTTTCATTTGTAGTCTAAGAGAGTGGAAAAGCAGGGAAGTGGGTGATTATCAGTCAGCTCTCCTTTGATGAGGTGGTTTGCATTTTTACATTCTCACCCACCCTCCTGCTGGGCGGCAGTTATCCTGGGAACTTTGCTCTCAGCTTCAGTCACTCCCACCTGTAGCCATCCTACCTCTTCCCTTCAAACAGTAACAGGAGACGGAGTTCTTGTGTGTGTGTGTTGGGGGTGTGTGTGGGGGGAGGTTTGGGGGGGTGACCAGAGTCAAGAGAGTCACCAGAAATCTAATTGTAATGAGGAACCCTGACTGGGAGACCTGCCCTGACTGGCTGCGTTTTCCAGGGCTGGCAAGCTTCAGCCAGAACATGCCCACTCTGAAATACACACCGAGTCTCCTCTCAGCTTCCAGTGGCGCCCATCTTCCCCAGAGAAGGCTGTGGGGTGTTTACTTCTGACCTGCTCTTAAGGAGAACAGGTTTGAAGCTAGCAACTCACCTGAGAGATGGTGGAGTTGGGGGGCTGGGTGCAACAGAAGCGTTTGCGTAATGCCTCTTGTACCTGCAGGAGAGGTAAATGCCCCTGGTGTGGCATCAACCGGGCCAGGCTTTGTACTGCATGTCAGACAGGTTCAGTGGGCAGACTCACCTTCTTATCCATGAGGCATCCGAAAAGTAAGATGAAGACACCCTGTGAAGAAGCATGTGGAGAGACCTTGTCAAGGAAGAAGAAATTGCCAGGAGCAACTGGCTCCCTCTTCTCCCCCTGCTGTCCTCTGTCAGATGCACAGCTGAGGCTTCCTCTTGGCTCTTCTTACTTAAGCACCTCTTGATGCAAAGGATCCCTCCCTTTTAGGTGTCTTTTCTTTTTTTAAATATACTGTTAGGGTTGCAAAGGGAACATAAAAGACTTAGCTACTGGCAAATTCCTGACTTCTCTGGCAAATCCAAATATTTTACAGATAAGAAAAACAAAACTCAGGTCTGTTTGAAGTTACACAATTAGTGGAGAAATTGGGATCTAAACCTAAGCCTTCTCAAACTCCCAAGCCTGAGTTCTGCTCCATGCCTCGGTGAAGAGGGCTGACATTGAGAAGGCGAGGTCATCACCTGATCACCCACCTGGGAGGTATTGAGGACGGTGAAGACGTACTGAGGGGCCAGGGAGCTTTCTTCTAGCAGAGTGGCCAGGCCCAGTCCCCAGGTGAGGCCAAATATGGGTGTGAGGATGAGCAGGGCTTTGATCACCCCCAGAAGGGCTTGGCGCTTCTCTACCTGTGGCCCTTCTGACAGTGAAGGTCTCAGCAACTTCAGCACAGCCATGGCTAGTACCAGCCCATTCATACCCACTATGGCCAGCACTGGCCCCACAAAGGTGTAGAGTGCCCCTCCCTTCCCATTCAGCCAGCAGGCCCCCTCTCTTAGGTACTGCCCTTCGGGTAAGTAGAGGCCCAGGGTGACACCTGCAAACCCCATTGGGCACAGGTAGCCAAGAGCCACCATCAGGGAGAGGGCTCGGTGCTTGGACAGTTGATGGAAGACAAACAGCAGCTGGTGGGCCAACATCAGGGCCTGGGCCAGCATCCAGAAGAAAGTGGCCAGGTAGAGGAAATGAGAGAGGAAGGCAACGGCCAGGCAGAGGGGGCTTTGGGGCATGGGAGGAAGCAGTGAGGCCCCTAGGAAGCAGGTGTCTGCGGCCAGCAGGGAAAGTGCCACGTGGAGCAGGGCTGTGTGGCGCAGATAGGCAACCTTGTTCCGCACCACGACTCTCCACACCAGCCTGTACACACCCAGGCACACAAGCAGTGCCAAAATAGAGGCCGCCAGGCCCACCTCACTCAGGAGCTGCAGGGTGCGGTTTTCTGGAGCAGTGTGTTTGGACATGAGGATGGAGAAGGCAGTGAGGTGCCTGCAGATGCACTGGGTGCTGGAGCTGACACCGGCTGCCTGCACCTGGCACCCTTCACTAGACCAGCCCCCCTTACCCTGGAAGAGAGTGTGGTCCCAGAAGACACAGTGAGCGATGCCATCTGTGACCCCGAAGTCCATGATGACCTCTCCCTGGTGGGAGGTCTGGCCACCTGCCATGATGGAGATGGCGAGGACCAGGCCAGGTGTGGCATAGAGAGAGTCCCTCAGCCCTTGTCCATAGTTCGAGGGCAGCAGGTGGTCCAGTTTGCGTAGCACCAGGCTAGTAATGCTGACGTTGGTTCCGTTATGGCCCAGCGGGGCCAGGGAGCGCCTGGGGATCTGAAGCTGCAGCGGGGGCGTGGTAGAGAAGGTGATTCTATAGTCAGCGGGAAATGTGGGTCCAAGGAGCTGAGTCTTTAGCTGCACATTGGGCAAACTGAGGGAGAAGGGGTGGTCCTGTGGGTCCAGGCTGCGTGCCAGGCTCTCTGCGGTCAGTAGGAGACTTGAGCTTGCCGAGGGCTTCTGAGCCTGGGCTGGGGTCCACAGAGAGCTGGCATCCATGTCCAGGACCTGGTCTGTAGTTTTCAGGAAAGCCTGCATACCCAACAGAGATGTAGCCTGCCTCCAGGAGCCCACAGCACTAAGCCCAGGGCACTGGGAACTCTAGAACCCACCCTGGTCTCCCCACTTGGGGTGAAAACAGATGTTCAAGATGGGACCAACTAGAGCTGTCCACTCTCCACTAGGGCATCTTCAAATCTGTGATCTCAGCCAGCCTCTCTGACAACTTCCCCTCCCCCTCCATTCCTTGGGGCCACCCAGGAATCCCTGCAGCTCTGCAAAACTTGTGCCCGATGGTCAGGGGCGCTGTGTTCTGCAGTAACGGCCTCAGCTCTCTGACATAGGGAAAGGGCGGGCGTTGTCACTGCTGCTGGCTATTCCCTTGGCTGCCGCTTATATGTCCCCATGTCTGCACTCAGGTAGTTTAGGCGAGTCCGCAGAGCCACGTGTGTGTGAGAAGCTCCATGTCATGGTCGTGGGGATGGAGGCTCGGGAGGATTCACGTCACAGCCATGCACCTGCCTGTGCGTGACTGCCGCTGTGCCCCTGCGGCTGTCCCCCAGCCTCGGGGTTTCCTTCACAAGCCTTGGCCACTGCTGTCCAGGAGGAGAAATGGACTAGGGGAGCCGACACTTGGCCTCCAGAGAGGTCTGCGTCTGACTGGGGTGATGGCTGAGGGACAGCAGTGCCCAAGGATGAAGCGCTTCCAGCCCCCCACACTCGGCCGGTTCCTGCTGTGCTCAGGTTCTTACCTCCAGAGCTCTGCGGTTGAGCTGCATTCTGGCACCTGTCACCACGTTGGCCAGGGATTTCATGGTGCCCAGCAGTGCCAGTAAGTCAGAGGGTGAGCTCACCAGCCCCACCTGCTCTAGCAGCCCAGCCAGGATCCGTGGCACCTCCTCAGCAGGCCTGCCCTGGCCTCCCCGCAGCAGCTGGGACAGACAAGGCAGCAGGAAAGGGGTGGGGGAGGAAGGGGCCACCTCCTCCCCTCGCTGCTCCCCGTTCCCCAGCCAGCGCCCTGCCGTGAGCCACGTGGAAGGAACCAGCCCAGTGCCCATGGGATGGACACGTGAAGACTATGGGTTGGGAATAGCACCTTCCCCACCACGGGGGCTGGTCCCTCTAAGGCCCCACACCTGCTTCCTGGCTTGCTGGGGCCTCAGTTCAGAGAAGCTGACACCTGCAGGCTGGGCCCGAGGAAGGGGTAGAAAGGACGCGGAGGATGGGGGTGTGGGCCGCAGGGCCAGAGGCTTTACCCAGGTTCTCTGAAGCAATTCCAGGAGTCCCGTGTCTGTGCAGCTGTCCTGGATGGGCCCCCAAACCCCATCAGGCCCACAAGGCCTCTTCACCATGCCCGTCCTGTTCATAGGACACGGCGCCTGAGCCACATGGCCAGCTTTGGTGACATTCCAGGCAACAGCTAAGGAGTCCTTGGGACAGGCGGCATCTCCGTCTGAAGAATGATTTCAAGGAAGGCTCAGCCACTGCAGCTGACCTCAGACTGCAGCGGGCCCTGTGGCTAGCTCAGGGAAAGGCCAGGCGCTCCCGGGGGGAACCACTGGGCACAAAGTCCACATACCCTGGATGATGGTGACGGAGACAGGGACCCTGAGAGTGGACAGTCCCGGGCTCTGCAGGACACAGGTGTATGTGGTGTCAGCTGCAGGGCAGCGCTCAAGAGCCAGCACCAGACACTGGGAGGCTGACGTGTAGACTAGGGAGGCTGAGCATGAGGGAGAGAAGGGAACAGCCATGGTGCTGGGAACAGACCTAGACCCCAGCAGGCCCAGAGACGCCCTTTCTGTCTTTCTAGCCATTTCAGAAGCGGCTGAAGCAATGGGGATGAGCTGAGTGGCATGTGGGCGTTCCAGTTACTGAGGGCCAAGCCTGGGCTTTGGGGAAGGCGACGCTCAGGGCCGCTGGCTCCAGAAGTTGAAGCCAGCATTTCCTCACTTGTAAAACGAGGAATCAAATGACCTCACAGCGCGTGCTGCTGAGAGATCACTGAGCTTGTGTGGTGGAAGCATTTTGCAAAAAGCAGTCTACACTGCAGTTGTGCAGCTAGAACTGGAGCTGCTCTGTGGGACTAAGGACTGGGCTGGATTCGAACCCAAAACTCTGGGCTGCATTTCATCCTCTGCCTCCTGGAGCTGGAGAAGCAGCTGCTGGGGAGACTAGCCCCACCCCTCACCCCTCCCTGTCCGCCAGCCCCTTCCCTACCTGTGCTGCCCTCCCCCGGGCTCCAGGAAGCGGTGTAATCCTGGGACGTCCTGGGGATGCAGCAGCTCAGCTGGAAGCCGGGGGAGGTGGCACAGGAGACGGAGAGCTGGTCTGGAAGCCGAGTCACTTCTGTGGCCTGCAGGGGCAACTTCACCACCTGGTGCAGCTCCCACCTGAATCCCTGAGCCTCAAAGCAGCACGTGTACTTACCTGCAGACACACACCGACCGGCTGCACTGCCGGCTCTGTGCCCACAGTCTCTGCTGCTCCCCAAGCCACACCCTAGGTCAGCGCTGTCCGTCCAGCCTCTGCTGACCGCCCAATGCTTCACCCAGCTAAAGAGCCCTGCCCCCAAAGGATTTCTAGGAGGGAAAAGAGAAGAGGAGAGGAGGCTCCTGGCCCTTTTTATAGCCTGTTGTCTAGGGTGAACCTCTCCCCTTCCAGTGGATGGCCGCCTTTCCCCACTCCTGCCACTTGAACATCTTGATGAAAAACGCCCAGACCGTCTTCTCCGCATTCTTCCCTGACTCTTCACATCCGTGAGCCTCTTAGCCTTGTTCCCCTAGCAGGAGTAAGCGGAAAGAGGAAAAGGAAAAGACAGAAGAGAAAAGGAAGGAAAGTGCAGGGAGGGAGGATGGGGTCGAGGGGAGTGGAGAAAAAGGAGGAAGAGGAGGGAAAGAAGGATGGGGCGGGATGGACAGGTTGGCTACCTGCCCACTTCTGGGAGATGTTGAAGATGCTGAGGACAACCCGGCTCGGGCTGGAGGTCAGAGACACGTGTGTCCCCTGCTGCAGGTGGATGGGCCTGGGGCTCCCTGGGCGCCACAGCAGCCAGCGCAGGTTGGTGGTCTGCTGGCTCGCAAGGAGGGTCAGGCTCAGCGTGCGGCCAGGTGTCTGCAGCCGGGAGTCCAGACTCAGGGCCCCAGGTGCTGCGGGGAGACGGGACCCCTGAGCAGGACCTCCTGGCCCTCGGTGCAGCTAAGCCTGCTCTCCTCACCACTCCCCAGCCAGCACCTTTTGTTCTGTTCCTGGGTGAGTGTGGCCCCTGCAATCTGGTCAGGAAGACCTGCCTGCCTGTCATTGGGACTTTTGGGTCTGATTCCCCTTCCCCAGAGAGGATTTCCTGTCCTTGTCCATTGTCTCCGGAGCTCCATTCATCAGTCTGACGGCACAAATCCCAAGTTCAGAGCTTGTGCTGGCTGGCACCCCAGGGAGCTGCTGGGCGTGGGCCAGCAGGCGGAAGCCAGGGGGCAGAGAGGAGAGGGTCACTGCGAGGGTTGCTTTCACTGGGGGTCGTTGGCTTCCAAGTTCCCAGCCCTCCTCACCAGGTGGCAGCCACTGGCAGTAGCCAGCCTCCGTGGGGGCGCGGAAGACGAGACAGTCGCAAGGCTGGTGTTCGGGGGGCTGTCGGCAGGGGCGGTGGTGGGAGCAGACACTGACGTTCCACTGGTACCCAGGGAGGCAGGCACAATAGCGAGACTCCTGGTGGACGTGACACTCTGTGCAGAGGGCAAGGGAAGGCGAAGTAAGGGGCTGTCTGAGAAAGCCAGCGCCAGTCACCGCCTTCCAGGGCTGTCGCTTCCCACCGGTGCCCACAGCGGAGGGCGGGCGGAGGCGAGAAGTCCCAGGCGCTCAGCCAAAGGCTGGCAGCCGCAGGCTGGGGCTGTGGGGAGGCGGGCGGAGCTGGGTGACCAGCGTGCGCCAGGGAGCAGAGGCAGGGACCCCGCCATCCTGTCTGGGGAGGCTGGGGGCCCTTTCTCCCACAAGAGGTGGCGCTGGCAGGGGAGGCCAAGAGAACGTCTTCCCCTACCTGTCGTGAGGCTGAGGCCAGTGAGAAAGACTGGTGGGGAGGACCCCGAGGCAGGGGCCAGGGCCAGGGGCCTGGAGAGCTCCGGTCTCCAGCTCCCGTCTGACAGGCTCAGCTGTGCGTAGGCTGAAAGCAGCACTGAGCCTAGGAGGAGCAGAGGCAGGGCTGGAGCGGGGAGTGGCCAGGCCGCAGGTCCCACGCCGTTCACCTCCCACCCTGGGTGGTTACTGCCAGGAAGCCTAGGAGGTCCCACTGCCCATAGGTCACCTGGCGGGGAGCGGACTGGGAAGGCCAGAGGGCTTCATTGCATCACCCTAAAGGGCATTCAGGGGCACTGTGTCATGTCACCCCTCCCCCAACACCCTCCGCTTTGTGGAGGGAACTGTCTGAGAGGATTGACTTCCCAAGGCCTCCTTGAGCTGGACGGTGGTGTGGGACCTGCCTGGTGCAGGACTTGCCAGGTGCAGTCCTCCCTCCTTGCCTGGTCCACGCTTGTGCTGCTTCTAGTCCTTACTTTCTGGCTTCTCCCTCTCCTCCCACCCATCCACTCACCACTTGCTCCATTCTCTTGGTCCAGCTGCTGCCCTGTTTCCCCTCCAGTCTGACCCTGCCCCTGGAACAGAGCACAGAGGAGAGGCGCTGAGCAGAGGCTGACCCCACGTTTCTGCCAGGATGCCTTTTCCCTGTGGCTCCAGGGCCAGGCTCACGGGGCGGGACTCCTCTGAGAAGTGCCTCCTATTGCCTGGAGTCAGGTGGGCACACCCGAAAAGGATGTCAAGCTTCCGAGTCCCTCTCTGTCAGGAAGGGGCCCCGCAGACGCCCAGGGCCTTTCATTCTACCTGGACCCAGGAACCAGGCACACCTGGAGAGTCAACATACTTTGCTTACTTCCTTCCTGAATTCACTTGACCCTGGATCTCTAGGCTAATTGGAGTGGCTGGGTCTGGAGCCCCAAAGGGAGGGGTGGCCACAGCTGCCTGAAGCTTGGGGACATCTAATTCCACCAGAGGAATTGTCCCCCTGTAAACTATTTCCTCACTAACTCCTCACAGACGTGCAGGTGCACAGGGATACGGATCTAAAAACAGATACCGACATAGGTGAGGATGCGGCTAGAGACAGAGATACCCTACAGGAGAAACAGACCAAGTGCTCAGCTAGACGCTGCCGTCTAGTCTCTCCCGCCCTCTATGTCACTGCCAGATCTGGGAAAGTTTTTTCATCTTTGAATTGCCAGCTTGACTGTAAGAGCCCTCACCCAAAGTTCAGCAGGCATCGCTGGAATTCACAGGATCCAGAGAAAGAAACAAAAGCTCTCCCCACACCCTGGAAGAAGATCTGACCTCTGAGGCCTTCAGAAGAAAGTGAACCAGAGCAGGTCAGCCTGTCTTATACATTAGTTGCTCTTCCTCCAGCCCTTTCACTCCATACCTCCCTTCTCACACCTATGCCCGACCGTCACCTGTGCAGTTCTCCCCTGGCCCTCCAGGGACCCTCTTACTCACAGGCTGGGATGCTCCGGCAGGCGGTGACCCCACCAAGGGGAGAGTCATGGCCAGGAGTAGCACGGGGGCAGCCCCTGGACAGGCCATGGCTCAGTGAAGCAGAGCCCCGAAGTCCCTCAGGAGGCTGCTGCCTGTCGAAGATGCAAATTCCCTGGAGAAGCTGGGGGTGAGGGGCAGCGGAAGGGAGCCAGGACTGAATCTGTAGAGGAAGTGTAGCCCACGGCTTCCAGGTCACTGTAGGGGCCCCTGCTAGGAATTTTTGTTTTTCTGCATTTTTCAGTTCTGTGTTTATAATTGGTACTGAGCCCAGGGGCTTACTGCTTAGTGCATGTTAGGTTGATATTATGACATTGGCATTTTTTTTCCAGCTTTTAAAAAAGATTTATTTTTTATGCATACAAAAACTGGGGGTACAGTCCAGAGGTGTAGGTGAGAGGATTCACCAAAGACAAGAGAGGGGAGCAGAGTTGGGTTTGCTTTTCCTGAGCAGGAAAGAGATGGAGTCTTACGTCATCACTCAGAGTTCTGCACAACTCAGGTGATATGCTTCCAGCCAGAAGAAAAAGGTTGGTAGTAATTGGAGAAGTATTGGCTATTTAATGAAAAGATGTTTTGTAGCAAATGTTTCTGATTTTATGTTTTTTTTTAAAGATTTATTTATGTGTGCATACAAGTGCTGGGGTACAGGCTAGAGGTACAGAGGTGAAAGGATTCACCAGAGACGGAGTGGGGAGCAGAATAGGCAGATGGACTGAGATACACTGCTGAGGGGAGCAGTGGGCAGGACAGGAGAGGTCTACTGCACCATGTAGGTCACCCCCCTGGCTGGGGATGGAACTCGTGCTGCAGTGGCTGAGGACAGCTTCATAGTGATGAGACTTGTGCCACCAAGCAGGGCTGACATTGACATTTTGAAAGAAGAAATGGTTGATCTGCAAAATAACTGGCAGAAGATAAGAGTTAAAATTTGAATTTGTCTTGCAACAGGCACTGGAAAAAATGTTCGTTACTTATTATCAGGAAAATATAAATGAAAACCACAATAAGACTCTACCTCATACCTCTGAGAACGATCCGTATTAAAAACACCACAAACATCACGTGTAGGAGAAGAGGTAAGGAAAGGGCGCCAAAGCGCGCTGTCAGTGGGGTGTAGACAGACAACTGTACAGCAGTGGAAAACTGTACAGCGGTTTCTCACAATATTATTGCTAGTGACCCAGCATTCCTTCTCCTAAGGATCTATCTGAAGGGTACAAAAATATTCATCAGGAGGGATGATACACACTCATATGTTCACTGCAGCATTATCTACTAGCCAAATTACAGAAACTGCCTGCGAGCCCAGCCACAGATGAGTAAACTAAGATGTGGTATAGTTAAACAAGGAATACTACTCAGCTATAAAAACTTGCCATTTGTGATAACATGGATGAAACTGGAGGAACTAGGTGAGTGAAACAAATCAGAAGGAGAAAAACAATAGTGGATGATTTTACTCATGTGAAATATAAAGAAACAAAGGAATTGACAAAACTAAGCCAAAACAAGCTCTAGGAATTCGACTGCAGAATTGAGGTGAATCAGGGAGGGGCCCATGGATTATGATGAAGGATTATGGGTGATTTGGTAGGTCAGATAACTCTGAAGTGGTGTGAACCCATCCTCCCAAATCACATACAGTGTTGGAATCTATGTTACCTCAGTTAAAAAAATGAACGGCTCCTCAACCCTAAAATGTGCCTTCCAGTTCAGGAAAGGAAACAATTTTATATCAATTTGGGGGGAGTAGGCTCAAGAACAGAGGTCCTTCTCCTGGTGCAAATAGCACGGGGGTGGTCCTGTGCTGTCTTTCTGGCTCCATGTTAGCTGTTTCTTGGTTCCCAAAGTGTAGTTTTAGGTTCATTTCTTCCATGCATTGGAGGGGGGTGGGGGGTGGCGGGCGGGTGTGCCTGACTCACAGCGGGCGGGCGGTCAGGATGCTTCTGAAAACAAGCTCAACAAGTTAACCACGACCAACTGTTTCTGCTGACGGCAGATCAGCCAAAGAGAAAATACTAGTACAAACATCAAATCTTAAAGTCTCAACCTCTTAACAACCAGCCAGGTTCAGAATCTGGCAGCCTTTGCCTCCGTGTCGCCAGTTGTCAGGAAGCACCCGCTGGCTGGATCAGGTGAGGGTGAGGTTCAGACAAACAGCTGCAAATTGCTGCTCCCAGTGCAGCGAGAAACAAGGCCTTGACCTTGTCTGTCTGTATACACGGTGATGCCTTGAAACCAATACTTTACGCCTGCTGGCAGCTTGTGAACTTCCAGGTTGCACCCTGGAACTACCCTCCCCATTCCTGTGTTCTTTGATTCTAATAGGCCATGTCAGCTGGTCTTTGATAAAGGTTTGCGATCCCTGACTTGTCTTATCTCTACCCAAACAGGTTATCTGGAAACTTCCTTTACTCTGTAAACCACTAATAAATTACTAAACAGTAAATGTGGCTTAGACCTTTAACCCATGAGTCTCAGCTTCTTATCCTTTTCCAATTGACAGGCATTAAGTTATTAGAAACAGAAAATGATCGGTGGTCTGAGAAAGGACCTATGTTGAGACATCATCAACTTCAGCTCTCACTTTGCAGAAGAAGAAAAGGGGCCAAGAGGGAAAGCTGATTTCACCAAAGATTACACAGTTAGTGGATGGCAGAGTCAAAGCTTACAGCCAGGAGGTCTAACTTTGCACCAGGAACTTAGGTAGAGGGAAATAAGAAATGTCAATTTAAGTATAGGATAATAAGAATGACTTAAAAATAACATAGTGTAGAAATTGTTTCCACAATTTCCCTGTTCTTCAGGGGCCCTCCCTGGTGGCGCAGAGGATTGAAGCTCAGCACTATGAAGCTCTCCGCAGCCCCTGCAGCATGAGCTTGATTCCTGGGCAGGGAGCTGACCCACATGGCGCAGCAGACCTCTCCTGTCTTGCCCGCTGCTCCCCTCAGCAGTGCATCTCAGCAACACTGTCTGTTTTGCTCCTCACTCTGTCTCTAGTGAAATCTCTCACATACACACCCCACACTTCTGGTCTGTACCCCAGTTCTTGTATAAAGAAATAAATAAAATTTTTTAAAAAGAAAGAAAGCTGTTCTTTAGAAATTTCAGCTTTTTTTCCTACAGGGAAGAGGAAGTGAATATAATATAAAAATAGGTGGTTTGGCCCTCCCTGGTGGCGCGGCAGGTTAAAGCGCAGCACTGAGAAGCTAAAGCCACTTCCGCAGGAGTTCGATTCCCGCCTGCCCCAGAGGTGACCACATGGCGCGGCAGACCTCTCCTGACCTGCCCGCTGCTCCCCTCAGCAGTGTACTTCATCCATCCACCTGTTCTGCTCCCCACTCTGTCTCTGGTGAAGCCTTTCACACTCCTCCCCTACACTCCATTCTGGCCTACACCCCAGTTCTTGTATGCATAAATATATAAAAATAAATCTTTTAAGGCAAAAGGCTTTTTCTGATATCAAAAATTTGAAAAATCAGCTTAAAGAGGTTGAAAAGGGTAATGAGAATTTGAGATATATAATTTTTTTTTTAAAGATTTATTTATTTGTACATACAGAACTGGGGTACAGGCCAGAGGCTCAGGGGCGGTGAGAGGCTTCACCAGAGACAGAGTGGGGAGCAGAACAGGCTGATCAATGAAGTACACTGCTGAGGGGAGCAGCGGGCGGGTCAGGAGAGGTCTGCCGCACCATGTGGTCACCTCCGGGGCAGGCGGGAATCGAACTCATGCGGAAGTGGCTCCAGCTTCTCAATGCAGTGCTTTAACCCGCTACGCCACCAGGGAGGGCCTGAGATATATAATTTAAGCTTGAAGTTCTGGGCCCTGGAGGGAGGCCCTATACTTTCTACAGGGAATGTATGGAAATCCCGCTTTAGCATTATGTCAGAGAACTTGCGCCAAGGCACACCTCAGAGCTGTCGGAGAAACTAATGCAATTTCTGATGCTATTTTTAAAAAAGATTTATTTTTATACATACAGAACTGGGGTACAGGGTAGAGGTTCAGGGCTGGTGTGAGGATTCATCAGAGACAGAGTGGGGAGCAGAACAGGCAGATCAACTGAAATACACTGAGGGGTCAGGAGAGGTCTGCAGCGCCAGGTGGGTCAGCTGCCCGGTCGGGGAGAGAACTCGTGCTGCAGTGCCTGCAGAGAGCTGAGACGTGACCTCTTGTGCCAGCAGGGAGGGCCTGATGCTATTTTAAACCTTTACAAATTGTGAGGCTGTTTGAAGTTTCTATCCTGATCTTTGGTGTGAATAAATCTTTGGAGAAGACCAGGAAATGAGAGTGGAGATGAGTTTTTAATCCTAAAGATGACATCATGTCAAATCTAAGCCAGGGAACTGCCTGCGTTTCATGTATAATTCAGCTAATTGAGAGCTTATAAATTTAAGTATCTGTTAGGCACCATGTTCCCTTTAGGCCCCTCCATGTGCATCATTTTTTAATGTGGGGTGGCCTTCCTAGGCACACACTGAAACCATATAGGAAAAGAGGATTGATTTGAGTATGAAAAACACAAGATGTACTATACAAATCACAAGCGGCTACATGATGACTCTTACTCTGAAAGATCAATTTTTTTCTGAGTGCGATCTACGTGTTAGGTTTGAGAAGCAGTGGCTCACGGAATAGCAGTCTTGGGGTTCAGCTTCATGGCTGGGAAAGCTGAATGGGAGAAGGCAGTTTGGATGTGAGCCAGAGCCTGTTCCCACTACAGCTTCCGTGACCGAGCCAGAGGCTGTTCCCACTACAGCTTCCATGACCAGCATCTCCTTCCCTGGTGAGGGGCAGGGCTGGGCAGCTCCGGGTCCCCAGGGGGGAGGGCAGCTGGCCTAGGGACGGAGGAGGGACTGGATGCTCCAGAAATGTGCAGCGTGGCCTCCTTCTCCACGTCTTACCAATCAGATAAGCCACTTTTTTGCCTTGGGGAGGAGGGCGAGAGGAAAGAGCCTATCCTTCTTCGAGTAGAAGTCTCCTTTCCTCTATGAGATGTGAGAACACCATGTAGTGCTGAGTATGGCAAATTTATTTCAATATTT